ACGATTTAGCCTTGGGAAGTTGCGCACTGAAAATTTATTTTTTTTTACTCAAAACTGTTTTTTCAAGAGACTAACTTAACATTATTTTACTCAGATCTTTGAGAGACAATTCATGAGGAGTTGGATGTATAATTATTGTATTAATCTTTTAATTTTTTATATATTATTAAACTATTTGATAAAAAAAAATTTTGAAAATTATTTTACAAATTTTTTTTTTAATTCAAAAATTATATTTTCAATTTCAGTTTTTTTTACCTTATTTCAAAATCTTGTTTATGGGGTTAGCTGAAGAAATAATATGAATTCTTCTCATGAGTTCTACGGTAAATGACGTCACGATGGCGAAGTTGTGTGGTCCTTCGTTTTGTAAATTTTAGAAATTGGGCTTCAAAGTCGTCATTTTTTCAAAACATTTTTTTTTGTAATTTATGTGCAAATGCAAAAATTAATAAAACTAAAAACTTGTTTGAAAACCCTCATATTTTATGGCTTCTAACTATATGTAAACTCTAAAGACTTTGAAGAGTTTGAGTAAAAAAATTGTGTTTTTATTAAAAAAAATAATTCTTGAAAGAAAATATTCTCCTCCAATAAATCCATGGAGCCCCACTAATTTAAAACATCAGGTCTAGTAAAAAGTAATCCCTTTTTTTTCTACAAATGTCTTCAGTAAACTGAATCTGGCGTTCGATAAGCGCAATTGAATTACGCTAGATGGCGCTAGAAAACTGATATTTCGTGCTGAAAGAGACACGAAAAGTGCTGAAGAGCTGAACACTCGACTCAGCATTATTAGAGCGCTTGTCAAATATAGACACCAGCAAAGAGAAAATAAGTTGAGTTCTGACGAAAACGAAAGTTAGTTATCAAAATTGTTGTTGGTACTGCTGCAATAACAGTCAAACAAGTAAAATTTTGATTTGTCAATTTCCTACCGGTCATTTTGAGGGTAAAGATCCGCCTCGTTGGAGTAGATCAATTGTCTAAAATGTCAATAAAATAAATTATTCTTCGAGTCCGACCGATCGGAGTCGAGAGTAAGGCTGGCCGATGTCGCTTTATTATCACATGTGGATCATAAAACTGTATAATATATAAATTTGTAACTCTTCGCATATTTTCCTAGGTGACTTTCATTAGAACTTTCATACACAAAAATATTTATTTTTTTAACTATTTCACCTCCTTCAAAGGGCCGATGTAATGCGACTTGGTTTTTTTTTTTTATTTATTTATTTTTTTTTTTTGAAATTTTTGAAGAGTCACGAATTACATGGAGCCAGATCAGCCAAAAATGGGCATCGCACAAAAATATGAATCGAGTGGATGCAAAAACTATATTACGGTTCGGCGTAATAGATCAAAGCGCAGCTCTGAAGCATTCCGATTTACAAGGACTTTTCACATCGAAATAGAATATCGTCACAGTGGTCACAGACTTCAAACAGGTTATTGAGTATGAGTATGATAGGCTACGCAAATTTAAAGCTCGTTATGTTATTCCTCTGGCACTCATTCTATACATCTGGTCTGAATTTTTCTTTAAAATCCAGTGCAAGCAAGGACGCCGAATACATAGCACGAATAATAGTTTAAAAACACCATTCGTGATTTTGTCAGTCAATGTTGCTTACGCGTGCATGCCTGAGCAGCAGCCATAACTTCTACCAAGAGATATCGCTGCTGTCTTTTGTTCTCACCTAAGTGACTCCTCAATTATATGTCGAAAAGTCCTGTTAGTCCCGTTTAAGATTTCCACCTTATGTGGAAATCTTTCAAAGGCCAATGCTGCCGGTCTGAGGCCCTTCTTTTGATCCAGCAGCAACATCTCAGGTGAGTTGGTTATTTTAGTCGTTTTTGTAGGGTTTTTCCACATATGTTGCATTTAATAAACGGTACTATTTTTTCAATATAATTCTTCAACTGTTTTATTGACAGCTTAGCGGCAGGTAAATAGATCTTCTTTGCAGTTTTCTGAAGAACCGGCACATCTCCCGATCCCCGTTGCCGGAATTCGAGAGGAATTCTGGCCCCTAATTAACCTCGACACGAAACAAATGTCATTAAAATTTTTCTAAAAAGGAAGTCTCAGTAGGTTAAAAAACCATTAAAAAAACCGTTTTATGAGCATCCAAAAGGTAATCACTACTTTTCCCTTTGTATTCTAGAAAAGTTCTATTTTTTACATATCTTGCATGTGCTTATATTTGAGAATATTTCTAGATAAATTTACATTGATCCTGCACATCGATTCGAAGAAATTATCATGACCAGAGACATTTCCGATGAGGAAAATTTTTTGGGAACAACTGGACCGAACGGCTCAAGCACGTAGGCAGGGAAGGTTTAGAGCGTTCAGACTCCATTCGAATTGTTGAAATATTTTTTGAAATTATGTTTTGTTACCTAATAAAGTGATCTTATCCCTTTACAAATCTGCATAACTCAGCTTAAGCCTAAAAGTAAGTATAGAAATTTTTAAATGAAATTAAAAATACTCGTAAGTTAGCTCGAATTAAATCAGTGCTCTTTTCAAATAATGGCGCTGTCCTTAGAGTGCAGCCTGGATGGGTTGGAATGAGGCACTTCATTTTGTTTCGACTTTAGTCTTAACCAGTTCGATACTAAGATTTTTATATATATTTATAATACAACGAGGTGCGTCTGTTATAATCACTACAATCTGCCCCTAAACACAATCGCCTCAAACACATTTATTTCGCCAAACTTCTTTTGTCGAATTCTCCACCGGTCTCATTTCGAACTCCGATGAGCATTCTGAATGCGCAAAAATATTTCATGTAGAAATCAGACTATTTCAACACCTTCCTTAAAGTCTTTATTCCTTCAGGGCATCTCAGCTGTGGATTCTTGTGGATAAACCTGCAAAAAACCACACAATCAGCAGTCGGCAAAAACAGATACGCAGCGCCAGCTCTGGCTTTTGGAAAAACCCGCTGGGAAAATTACCAATGATGGCATTTTCATTTTCCATTTTCATTTCATTTCACACACATTTGCACATTAGTTGTTTGTTGCTTTCGTTGTTGTTACTGTTGTTTTCCCTTTTTGCTGTTATGTAATATATATTGTGGGCTTACTTTTTCTTTGTTGCATACTTTTGTGCGGTAATGAAAGCGAAAATTCTTCATTTAGAACAAAATGGAAAAGGGACAAAAAACTAATAAATACATACACACGCGCGTGTGTGTGTATACATGTGTTATCATGTGTGGCTGAGTGTGTGGAAAGTGTAAACAAAAACTGTGCTCAGCTCATAAAAATTCATTAAAACTCTATGTAAGTGTGTGTGTTTATTTGAAGAAAAAAGTAGAACAATAGTGAACGCTTTTATTTAGGCATTAATCTGCATATGAGTGTACATATGTCTACATATTTATATTTATTTGTAAATCAGCAGAGGGAATTAAGAATTTTTTTTGGACTTTAAATAAAAAATAATAATTAAAATGAAAAAATATTATATATATCATCTAGTTGTAAATCAAGTTGTAAATGTTTTAAAGGAAAACTTGATTTACCGAGAAGGGATTACAATGCATACGTGATATGCACAATAGTGTATTTAACAATTGTTTTTATTGATAAATTTATTTTAATCTTTTACAATATCTTTTTTTAATTTTTCTATACACGTGGAATGTGCCAATAAAATATAAAATATATCTAAAGTGCATTAACTCAACGTTTTTAATTTAATAGCATTAACTGAACGGTTCACGAGACCATGAAGAATGTCGCAGTCTTGAAACGTAGCCAGATCAGTATCCAAACATTGCAGAAAGTTAAATTAAAAGAGTCTATAGGCCATTAGCAGGCGGCTTAAAATAAAACTCAGGTCCCTCCATTTGTTGGAAAAACATCAAGAGCCACATATCAGTTCGGAGCACAATCTCAGAACAAAATCGCTTCAACGATTTATTTTATTTAATTTTATTTTATTTTATTTTATTTTATTTTATTTTATTTTATTTTATTTTATTTTATTTTATTTTATTTTATTTTATTTTATTTTATTTTATTTTATTTTATTTTATTTTATTTTATTTTATTTTATTTTATATTATTTTATTTCATTTTATAATATTTTATTATTTTTTTTTCACTATTTTACTTTGGTTCCATTTTAAACTTACCACGCAAGCCACTTCCATGTCAGTTATATATTTCAAAAGCATACTTGAAATACTTACACGCATTCACTAAATGAAGAAGAATTTAATTAATAAAATACACGGGTGTCTACTCACCGAGAAACCAAAGGAAAAAAAAATTATTCTTTCGCATTTTGTGAATTTATTTCTGACATGCCTCACCACATGAAAGACAATTCACCACATGTGTTTGCAGTGCAGAGTCTCTACGTATTAACCACAGGCAGTCATTTGCACAGATATATACATATATACTGTTTTGTTTTTACATTGTTTTTGCAGATAATTGTTTCAATTCTTTTTTTTAGTGAGCACAAATAGTTAGACTTTTTTGTTGTAAAGTTATGGCACTTCTTTTTGTAGAACAAGCTAACAAAACGAATTTAGAGAAAAGGGGTAAAGGAGTGTATTTATTTTTTTTTAAATTTTCTCTCTGTGTTCAAGTATTTATGGGGAATTTTAATTTTATAGTTTATTACTATAAACAAATTCGAAAACTATTTCATTCGAGAAGGTAAAGACAAAAATTTGGGAATTCATACAATCTTTTTAAAATTGAAAATAATTTGAAAAGAAAATTGAACAAAAAAATTTTAAAATATTGTTAAACGCTTTTAGTAATTTAACATTCTGTAAAGATATAAAAATTACTCTAACATATTTCTATTTAAAGCATATCACCCGGAATAGTAATCCGTTTCCTGAGTGAAATTTATTTAGTTTAATAACTAATCCAACAATGAGTATCATGAAATTTTATAAAATATAATTTTATATTAATTAAAATGCATTTTCTATGCAAATCTGTAGGCAAACACTCACCTTCTTTGCACAATTACATAAATCCCGTGGCTGCATGCATTTATCGACCTGCAGCTAACGAATTAATTAATTATTTGGTGAAATTTCCAACGATGTCAGTTGCTGGTATTGCGGCTTTTCATTGAATGTTTCTAATTTGGCATATTAATGATATTCATATTTTCCACATACTTAAATACATACATATACGTGTATGTACATGCATATGTAGAATTTTACATTTCACTTTATGTATTTAATATTCATTGACGTTAGTTTCTATTATTCACTTGATATGTTGATTTATATAATATGTATTTTTGTATGTATGTAGTTTTATAATTTACTGTTATTTAATGAGTTTCACTTTTAACAATTGGTAACAATAATTAAAATTTTTGCATATTTCACAACTTTTTTTAAATTTTTTTTCCAGTTTTCCAAAATATTTGTTTGTTTTTGTTTAATTTTAATTTTTAATTTGATTTCATTATACTGTAATTTTAAGTTTTTGAATGTTTAAAGTTCAAACTGTAATAAATTAAATTAGGTTTGGTTTGAATATTAAATTTAGAAAATTAAATTAATAATTTTTTTTTGTGGATTAAAATGGAGTAAATATAAATTTATATTACATAGAATTTGCTTTTTACACTGAAAATGTCCTTGAATTACTTCAAATGATTTTTATTCCTGTTAGTTTTCTTACTTTGAGTATAACTTTAAATAAGAAAACAATTTTCAAAATTTTAACATATTTTTGAAAAAAATAAGTATTCATAAAATCTCATAAATATTATGAAATATATTGAATATATTTAAAACATTTTTAACTTAAATCCATTAAATGTGAATAAAATGAATTAAATTTAAATAAAATATCTTAAGCAAAAATGTTAATAAATAGTCCCTTTCAGCCCTTTTTTTCGTAATATATTTAATACATAGGGCACCTTTATACTAATTTCGATGCTGCACAGTGACTTCCTCTTATATAAAATGGGGCTAAATAAATAATGAATGGACTAAAACTATTATTTGCATCTTTAATAACTTCGGACCGCTGAATTCAGTCAGATTATTTTGTTTTGGAAGAAATAGATGCTTTCGACAGAAATTTTGGTAATTCAACGTGAAGGAAAATACAATATTTTTTTTTCAAAATTAGTGTCTTTTAATAAGCAATTATAAAATGTTTTCGAATTCTCAGAATTTGAACGCATTACCCTCACACGCTACTGATCATTCTAACCGGTTTGTTTTTTTAACCGCTATTTTATATTGGTATAAATAAAATAAAAATTAAAAAACATTTATATTTTTGTATATATTTAGTGCATTCTGTAATGGGAAAATTTGCTTTATCGAGGCTGCTGAAAATATCCTTGCAGCCCATAGTTCATAAACCATTTTTTTTTTTAAATATAAAAAAGTTCAGTTCACAGTTCAAAAAAAAATAAAGAATGCAACTACATTAACATTGCCTTACATATTTTTTTATTTATTCCAATCAAATTTGCTGTTTTACAAGAATTATTATAAAAATTAATTGGTTAACCGCGTACATACAATCACGGAGCATTTTTTTATTTCTATATATTTGTAATTCTCTGATTTTTTTTAAATGAAAATATATTGCATGAACATTTTTTTCGGTTTCTTCAAAATATGTATTTTTAACAAATTTTTCATTGATTGCATTACTACATTCCGCTTGACTTTTACGTCATACTACGTGTGAAATTTTATAGTTTTATAGCAGAATGTGAATATTTTTCAGTAAACTACCTTTCAAAATATAAAAAAAAATAATTAATTTAACAGAAAAAAAATTTTTTTTCAACTGTTGGAGCCACTGTGCACTGCTAAATTATGCCTTTGCGGAGGGAATAACTCGGCTATAATCGCGTAAACGGTGTCAACGCCAGTAAAGAAGTAGAAGAAGAAGAAGGAGGGAATAACGTTATTGGTGTAAAGTAGCCTCTCTTTGAAGCGTTTAAAGCAATTTTGAATTGAAAAAAAGTTTCTGTAAAAACTCTTTTCATAGACAACCAATATGCAATGAGCAGCTGGAATAAAGTTATTAATAAAAATACGAAGGGAATTTTATTTATCTGCAACTACAAATATTCTCTTAAAGCTATTGAAGAAGTTATTCGGGTTGAAAAATCAAACTTAACGAAACTGCTATGAAAGCAGCCAAGGCTGTTCTTCAAAACTTCAAATTGAAGTTGATTTAACTTTAAACATTAATTTTTTATTAGAGTAAATTCTTTAATTGAATTTCAAGAAATACTACAGGACCCGCAAAGGTCTCAGTAATGAGTAGAAACGGTGAGAGAAATACCAATTTTTCCACAATTTCCGTCGCAGGAGTCAATAATTGTTTAGTTGTGATGGCGGTTTTGAATTGACAGCTTTAGGAAGTTCACTTGGCAGCTTCTTGCAATAAAAACAATAGGTAAATATTTTAAATCCTCTTATATATATATATGTATATACATATATGTGTAACCGCTAAATGGTCAGTATTGCATGGAATCAACGGTCAATTACCATTTCCACTGCCAACATCAAAGTAAACTTTCTTTTTCAAATTCTTAAAATTAAAATGAGTACTAAAGAATAAAATAAATATAAATAAAATGCTCCAAACTCATCTCCCACTAATTCGATGGTCCAAAGTCATTTGCTTCGTTCTTGACTAGTTTTAAAGTAAAAAAATTGGAGAAAAATAAATTAAAAAATAATTAAAGTTGATAAAGGAAAAAATAATGATTAAGCAATATGCAACTAAATTAAAACTTGATTTTTAATAAAATTATTTTTTTTTTTTTTTTGCATTCCGACAAATCTTTTACCAGTAACAAGTACTTTTGTACGTTAGAGATTCGTATCTTTTGAACGAATTTATTTCTTGACTTCAGAATTTCTTCAGCGAACTCTCCAATATTCAAAAAAAAAAAAAAAACAAGAGAGTAAACCAAATTTTATGGAGAAAAATTTCACCAGAAATACGTGGAAGCTATCATAGTTCTCATGCAACATCATACACAAATTTCCTAAATTTTTCCACATCAGTTTTATACCCTGATGCTTTTCAATCGATACGTGGGCATCATTGAGCAGATTTCGTGGAGTGTCACCAGTATTTTAAGACCCACAAACACCTCTTTTATCAGTTTGACGTCAGTGCGACCCAATTTTTACTTAGACGAGGACCTACTCGTATAGTGGAATTTGTTAAAAATAATTCGCATTTTTCATAAGTGCTCTTGCAAAACTTACCCCATTAAATAGTTCGTTCTAACAAAAAAACCAAAAATATGCACCACAATGACTGACGCCAATCATTAATTACAGAGAAAATTTAAAACAAAAATAATTAATAATAAAATAAAATTAATAGAACCATGATGTAAAGGGTTTAAATATAATATTTATTAAAAAAAATAATTAAATCAATAATAGTTTTAATTGTAAATAATATTATTATATAAATTTGTAAATAAATTTATTTTATAAGTGTTTAAAATTTCCGTTTTTTTTTTAATACAAATCAAAATGCTATTAAAAATACAATTAAAAAATATCTCCGCACTGCAATTAATTGCATAAAATTCTAATACAATTTTCTTTTAAAAACTAATTTAAAATTACCTAAAACCAGTGTTAATTAAGTATTAAACAATATTAATTGAATTTTCAGTCAAAACATAATTTTTTTTTTGCATTTAAAGATTTGATTAATTAGTTGTAATTAATTCAGTTAAAATTATTTAAATCAAGTTATAATACAATTTTTTTAATTAACTTTAAGTTAAATAAATCTATTGTCATTTAAAAAGTAATTATTTAATTATTAATCAATCTTAGTTAATAACTAATTTTCTTTCTAACTTTCACCTTTGCTTTAACATTTTATTAACAAATCACCTAAAATTAATTAAATCACGTTTTATTAATTTATTTAATTTTAATTAAAGCAAAATAAATTTATTAAATTAACAATGAATTTTAATTAAATTATTAATTAATTTAAAAATCGTTTTTTTTTTTGCTTTACCTTTTCATTAGCCTTTCCTTTAATATTTTTTAGAAATTCGAATAAATGAAATAAAAAATTATTATTCGAAATTAATTAAACTTTAATATTTATAATAATGATTTAGCTGCTCCTCTTTCAAAAATTTCTTCATATTTTCGGAAAGAAAAATATTTTTAATCAAATTACTTAAATTTTCATTAAAATCAATTAAAAAGTAAAAATGTTTTAATAGTTTTTAACATCTTCAATGGTTCATTAGCTTTATTTAACCAAAATAAATTAATTAAAATTAATTAGACGTTAAAAGCCTTCTTAGAATTAATAATTTTATAACACATATATTTTTTAATCAAGGCACTCATTAATGAAAATTAATTTTAAAATATAAAATGTAGTCTGATTTGTAGTAAAAATTACCTAAAATTAATATGGAAAAATGACAAATATATTTTAAGATAATTTTGTTTCTTTTTTTTTTACTTTTACACTTAAATGAACCTCGATTTACTAGTGATATAATTTAATATTTTTATTTTGTTGTTTTTTTAGTTTTGCTGTTGCTTCGAAAAATTTACTTAAAATTTTGTAAAACTCGAATACTTTCATAATTTTTAATTATTTACAATTTAATTTTATTAATTAACAAATAATCTTGTATTTTAGTTTATTTTTTAAAGGTTTTTTTCACTAAAATCTTTTTTAAGCGGCTTACAAAATAAATTGGTCAAAAAGTGTAAAACTAAAATAATTAAAATAAAATGTTTTGGCTATGCATATTGCAATAAAAATGTAATTTTTAAAATAAAGTTAAGTATTTAAAAAATATTTTATATTTATTTTTCTTTTTGTCTTTTAAATGTCCTTTTCGAAGAAAATAAAACAATAATCACTTAGCCTCTAATAACTCAGAAACTCATTTTGGCTTGTCAAATTCATTTTTTTAAGGGCTCCCTTTTATATTCTCCTCTTTTTGCACTCTCCACTGCTAATGCACGACAACTTTGGCAAATGAAGATGGACAACATAGACTTTCATAAAAAATTCAATCACTCAAAGGCACTTGGAAGTAAAATTAAAAATAAAACGATTAAATAACAAAAAAAAAATTAAGCTGCAACCAAAACAAATAAACTTCTGCGAAAGAGTATCATAGAAAGAATAAATGATGTAGATGAAGAGAAAGAATTAAACTCACTCTAAACTGTGGTGGCGGGTGCCGAAGGTAAAAGTTTAACGCGTGACTGCACAAACACGCACACACAAGTAACCGAAAATCCAAAAAATAAGCAAAAAAAAGGGATTTAAAACACGAAGCTCGTCATATTTTCTTTTTCCCTGTAGTACGCATTTTCTGCTTTCCTTTCAGTACTTTTCTTTT